TGCTGAGCTGTCTGTAAAGACATGTATCCAGCCATTTGAATAGCTGTCGATTGTTTGATGTGATGAAAATGTCAGCATCACAAGGTCTGAGGATTTTGCCTTTAGTCTAACTAAGAGATGTAATGACTTTGCTTTTCCAAAGAAATGTGAAGAGGGATTTTTGGTTAACCTCTTTTTGGTTTCTTTTCTGTTTAGGGGGAGATGGGTATTGTATATTATAGTTCTGTGAAGTGATACCTGATTGTTTTTTTTGTTAAAATCGCTTCTTTGATTTCCACTCTTCTGCTAATTTCTGTTTGGGTGGCTGGGGCACATTATTTTGGTTCTTTCAGGGAGCTCCAAAACTGCTTTATTTCTGTGGATTCCAGAAGTTTTACATTTGAAGGGATTTCCCCGCGACAGTAGGCGTGGATCTCATGCCACCGTTTATTAAACAAAGAGCATTACTTTGGACCTTGTCAGAGGTGTTGCAAGAGCTGGGAGAAACACACGTATTCACACATTTGTTCCCGAGCACAGAGTTGGAAAAGACTCGGAGAACAGTTTTCACGAGACACTCAGGAGAAAAAATTTCTTTGTTGTTGTAAACGTTCGAGGGTTGACGGAGTGTAGACCCCAGAAGAAGAAAAAATGTCCAATAGAAAAATACCAAGTCAATCATGGCGAATTGAAAACTGATAATTTAATTGAAAATACTGAATGTTTTTGTACAAATCCTACATCACCACATACACTGTCAAATGACGAATACACTGATATAAAAATCCACTGTATGCATAACTTAAAAATGCACTAGAAACTGTTATAATCGAGAGAGATTATGGAGCAGCCTGGCAGGTGCTCAACACAACTCAGATATGTAGGTTACAGTCGTGGCACCGATAGAGATCTTTGTAGTAGTTTTTCAGACTTTTTTTCTAAAAAAATCACCTCCATCAGACAAGAGCTCGATAAAATGTGCGCAATTGCCCCAAATTACCATCAGTTTAAAGGGCTAGTCATCGATTATTTTACTCCAGCAACGGAAGAAGAAATCAAAAAGATCATATTCGATAGTCCATCAAAAAGTTGCGCCTTAGACCCCATGCCCACCAGCCTTTTAAAAAAATGTTTGCATGAACTTCTTCCACATATCACCCAAATTGTAAATGATTCTCTCCTCACAGGCACAGTACCAAATTGCTTTAAGACAGCACATATTAGACCCCTTTTGAAAAAATCTGGACTTGATGAAAAGGACTTAAAAAATTTTAGACCAGTTTCAAATCTTTCTTTCCTTTCCAAAATTCTGGAAAAAGTTGTATCTAATAGACTGTTACATCATATTAAAGCAAATAATCTTAGCGAAGTCTATCAGTCAGCATATAAGGCACACCATAGTACCGAGACAGCGTTACTTAGGGTCTGTACTGATATTTAAAAATATATTGATGAAAAAAAGGTATGTCTTCTTACTCTTTTGGACCTTTCGGCTGCATTCGATACCATTGATCATGATATTTTACTCGAGAGATTAAATACTACTTTTGGCATAAAGGGTACTGTCCTGCGATGGTTTGAGTCATATTTTAAGGATCGAACACAAGCAGTTGTGGTTGGAAACACGTGTTCTAATAATGTTTTGCTTAGATGTGGTGTTCCTCAGGGGTCTGTTCTTGGACCTGTCTTGTTTACAATGTATACACAACCTATTGCTGATATTTTAAGACAATATGGCATGAATTACCATCTTTATGCTGATGACACTCAAATTTATAAGTCTATTGATTTCGATCAAATACCACTTTTAGTCGACTCTACTGAACAATGTACTAGAGATTTAAAAATATGGATGACCAGCAATAAATTGAAACTAAATGATGACAAGACGGAAATAATGTTGAGTGGAAATACAAAAGCCATTAAAAATCTCCCAGAGCTACAAATTGATATTAATAACCTTACCATTCGTTCAAAAAGAAGTCTTAAAAATCTAGGGGTTCAGTTGGATTATGATATGTCTATGTCCTCCCAAATAAGCCAGCTCAGCAAAAGTATTTACTTTCAGCTTAAGAAAATTGGCAGTGTAAGAAATTATTTAACTAAAGCAGCAGCCAAGACACGTGTAACAACACTCATTTTATCAAAGTTAGATTACTGTAATGTTATTTTGTCCGGTTTGACATCCGAAAAACTATCAAAGTTACAAGTACTCCAAAATCAAGCAGCAAAATTGATAATGAAACAAAAGAAATCAGCCCACGTAACACTAATTCTGAAAGAACTACACTGGCTGCCAATAAAAGAAAGGATTAAATACAAAACTGCCGTTCTCTGTTTTAAATGTATAAATGATAGTGCACCTTTTTATCTTAAAACATTTCTGGAATTATATAATCCACTTAGAGCCCTTAGATCAGCCTCTGACAATCTAATTCTTAAAACTCCAAAACAAAACTACAAAACATACGCGAGCGTTCCTTTTTGTTCTTTGGTCCCCAGGTATGGAACGAAATCCCATATAAAATAAGATCTGCCCAAACAATTTCCATTTTCAAAAATCAGCTGAAGCATTTTTTTATTCACAAAAGCATACCTGTCATAATGATGTACTGTGATATATATGCATGTGTATGCCAGACTGTGAGACTGGAGAAATAGCGAGTGAGAATGAGAGAGAGAAAAAGAGAGAGATAGAGAGAGAAAAGAGAGAGAAAAGAGAGAGATAGCGAGAGAGGGAAAGAGAAAGAGAGAGATAGAGGGAGAGGGAGAGAGAGAGAGGGAGAGAGAGAGACAGAGAGAGAGAGAGAGAGAGAGAGAGAGAGAGAGAGAGAGAGAGAGAGAGAGAGAGAGAACGGAAATGTTTTTCTATCAGTATAGAATCAATGTTTTAATGAATGTTTCTAGTTACTCACGTTTCAACTGTATTTTGACTGTTCGTGAATTTATATTGCATTGTATATTTTTAGTGAACACATTTTCAACCTCACTGCGAGACTGTTTTTCTGGTATAAAATTTTACACATATGCATTTATATTATATGTATAATACTTTGTTTTATGTACACATTTGTGTCGATTAATTTTTAAGATGTGATGTCTTTTTCATTGTAATGCGCATTGAGCATCTTTTAGGAAATGGAAATGCGCAGTATAAATGCTATTTATTATTATTATTATCTATCTATCTATCTATCTATCTATCTATCTATCTATCTATCTATCTATCTATCTATCTATCTATCTATTCATCCATCCATCCATCCATCCATCCATCCATCCATCCATCCATCCATCCATCCATCCATCCATAATATTATATACGTACATACATATACATCAGTCCCACAGCGTGCCACGAGTCTTTAAAAAAACAACTACTGCGTAAATTTATAAGTTGAGGAGACTACATAAGAAGTTTCGCCAGCCACGATAAGGGGCCTACACGTCATAGTTTTTCAACTCTGGTTTCAGGCCCCCAGGGATTTAGACACATTGTGCTATTATTTGCAAACGGGTGGCTGCTGAATAGGAGCTCGGGTCTAACATTTTGTCAGGTATACACGCACACACACACACACACACACACACACACACACACACACACACACACACACACACACACGCAAACAGTTCATCAGAGGGTAAGGTTTCCGAAGAAGCCTACCCGCTACAACACAGACGCCAGTGTGCCGGACTTGAATATATATTTTTTTCTTTGTCTGCGTTCGGATCACAAAACCATGTCTCTGGACCATGGTACGACACATAGGTTGGATTACTACTATACCTTTTTTTAATATATCAATATTACGATGATGTAGCGATTAGGCGCTTTGCACCACACCTGCAGGAATGGAGTTTAACTCCCATTTGATTTATTTTTTGTTTGTTTTGGTAAGTGTTTTACGGCGTTCGCAACTGCATAAGGTGATACGAGCGCGTGGGACACATTAAACATTTTTATTTTGGTAGGAATTTATTTTGAATATTGCGCCGGTGGCGGCCGTACCCTACTCTTTTCGATTTTGAACCACCAAGGGATGATCTTTATCGTGCGTTACTTGCTCATGGTACCTCCGAGATGTTTCGCTCTTATCTGAAAAGGCTAAGGGGGTTAGATCTTACTTAAACTAAGACCAGGGGTGTGGCTGAAAGAGAGCAGTAAGAAGGAGCCAAGAAGTAGCAGTTGAAAGGCTGCAAAAAGAATCAGAAGCTCAGAGGAGGGTGCAAAGGGGCGGGGGTGGGGTCAGAAAGTGGAGACGATTCCTTTGTTGGGAGAACTTTTCGAGTACCTCGGGTCAGATGCTGAAATATTGCATCTCTTTCAGGTCGGGTTTGTCATGATCGGCAGGTCTAAATCAATATAAGTGACGTGTGAGATTGTGTGATTCAGTTTATTTCGCCGGCTAAAGCAGGAGACATTTAAGGTGAAATGCAGTGAAATTACACAAGCCTCCAAAAGTGATACTAAAACTGATATTATAGAGATGAAGTCACTCAAATATATTTCATGAGATAAAAATATTAAAGCTATTGCTCCCAGCTACACCGAAAACTGCTGATTTTAAAGTTCAAGACGACATTTTAAAAAAAATATATTATTGTCATCTTGCTACAAGCCACATTCCTTATATCCACTGGCTCGACTCTCGGGCCTGACTGAAGCTGCGGACGGACCTGATCTTGTGCGTGGACAGCAGTTTACACATGCATTATCAGACAATTCCGTCCTTGGGGGTGTAAATAACAATTTTAAAAACCTATTATCTACACCACAGTTAGTTATTACAGATGTTATTTTGAAACCTAGCCGTCAGTATTTTATTTATAGAAGCACCAACCGTCCATGTCTAGGTGCTGCCTTCGTCTGTCATTTTGAAACATACTCATCACTGATCCCATAGTCAAGATGACTCCCCATTCTAGAGATACATTTGTTGCACATGCCAGTTTTAATACCACCAACCTTGCCCTCTTCCCTCTCCACACCCCAATGCCTATCATGGTGATTCCCTCAGGACAGTGACGGGCAGGTCAAAGGTGACGATGCTGTTCAAGGCTTTAGCTGTTGCGTTGGTCGCCGTTGTGCTGTCTTATTGCCTACGTGTGCTGTATTCTTTGGGCTTTCACCTGCACAACTTTCAGCACAAACCAGGAGTATGCAGGTGCGAGCTAGCTTTGTATGTTCATGTGTAAGGCATTATGGTAAAATCGATCGTTTGTCAAAATAATGAAATCGAAGAAACTAGCTTTTTGTCAGTTTGGCCATTTTTATCGAATTTTTGGGTTTTTTAAAAACCTTTTATGTCTTTATCAAAACTCATTTCCAAGTGAATTTTAATGAAAAACGTTGATTAAAGATACAAAATATTATATAAATAGACAAAAGAACAAGCTACTGTAAGATGACACCAAAAACTCCACATTCCCCAAAAGAATTAACAGCGCCCGATTCCACCGCGTCGTGACACATTATAATGCGTGAGCACACGTGTTGTTTGAAATGAACGAATCATCCTAAGTCAGACAGGAAGAAATAAAAGAGGAAAAAAAGAGAAGTAAGAACTATCTACGCTGCTGTGTCATTCAACCAACTGGAACAACCACTTGGGCCGCTGTTATTTACGAAGCACGGGCAAAAAAAGGGTACATCGACACGATAACGTCCATGTGGCGCTGGGGCTGACCAAAAAAGATAACAACGCGCTACCTCAGAATCACAAAGTTCTATTTGGCCGTTTCGAGTTACTAAGACCATGGCGTCAGAAAACAAATGTTCTATACGTTCTGTCAAAATCGTAGGATTATTCGGAGTCGTCATCAAAATTTAATTCCAAAATTTGCATTCGAAAAAGCTTGACGTTTTGAGAAATTTGAGTATATAAAAAAACAGGTTGACGTTGAGAGCAGAAAAGTGGGTCGTAGCACAGTGCAGCAGAAATCACACCACCCTATCTCTCCCGTCATCCATCCCCCACACAAAAACCGCTTTCCTAAATCTAACCTGAGGAAAGAATAGCTGATGTGGTTGCATTCAGAGGATTGATTTCCATCGTCCTGTATTGCCATTCTATTATAGGTATAGCGCCCCTTTCAACGTGTAATGTTATTTAACAGGTGGGACCTCCTAGTTTAACGTCTATCTCCGACAATAGCACGCCACAAACGAAACCCAAGTTCAGAACGCTCCGTTCGTTGGGGATTCAAACCAGGGCCATTCACTCCACAGTACAGCAATATACCAACTGATAATACTAGCTTAAAAAAACAACAACGAGGGAGCTGCACTGTGGTGACCATAAATGGCATGTATGTCAATTTATTCTGCATTAGTGTTATATTGTTTATTTGTATTCTTTGTATGTATATTATTTGGGTGTTTAGTAATACATTTATATATAGGCATGTTTGTCATTGAAACCTTAATTTCCACAAGGGTGTCAATAAAATGTTATTTCTTCCTTTCTATTTATTTTTATTTATTTTAATAGAAAACGTCTTTTGAGCCATCGTCAATACACAAAGGGAATTCTGTAATGTATTATTATACTCATTCCCCTTGTGCTCTCCTATCTCTTACAGGTTTCGTAGTAAAGAGACAAAGTGATAGGATTATTTTTGCAGAGAAGAAAGAGTAGGCACAGAAAGAGGAGGAGGAGGAGGAGGAAGAAGATGAGGCGAGAGATAGGAGGGAGGAAAACTAAACCCTAGTTTGATAACTGTGACAAATTTGCACGGGGGGAGGGTAGGGTGGAAGGAAGATGGGAGATGGAGAAAAGGAGAAGGGTGAGTACTGGGGTTGGGGAGGGGCGAGAGAAGAGGTGGTGGAGGGTGAAAATATAAAACTCGTGAACATTTTGTACCTTTAGTAGCTTGTCAGGATAAAAGAATCAGTGGATCATGTTTGGATTTTTGTTGAGGAGGAGGAGGAGGAGGAG